AGGTGTGGTTCATTGGCTGCCAAGCCTAAGCCCGTCTGTGGATTCAGACAAGCAATTAAAAGCCAGTGTGGGGTTGTGATGACAGGATTGGAAGTACGCTTGGTTTGTGGGGAGGAGTTGCAGAGGAGTCAGTTCCTTGAGTGATGCACTTGAAACCCAAGCAATATCCTTGAGCCATGGTCCTCCCAGGAACATAGCCCTGGGGGAAGTGTGCTTGCAGGAGGCTTCAGTTAAATGCAGAAAGTCACAATGAAAGGACATGAAATAGGAAGACGTGGAAAGAAGGAGGGATTTGATGAGAGGGGAAAGGATGGGAGAGGATAATGTGTACTCAGAGGTGGGGGTACTTCTATCGAGGAACATCCTATATGCATGAAACTGCTAAGGAATAAATACATTTTTAAAATAAAAAGTTGTGAGTAACGGAGTAAAAGAGTAATTAAAACAAGACACCCCAAATCTACCTCTGTCTTTTGCATACATATATATGTACACAAACATACACACCTGTGCACACACATGTACAGATATATACATACACAGATACATACACACATGCACATATATACACATGCACACATACACACATGTACACACACATACATACATACACACACACTCATACACACATGTACACACATGAGCACAGGTATACACATACACATGAACACATATACACACATATACACATGTACATATAGACATATATGTATACACATACATGTACACACACATGTACACACACACATACCCCACTCTCAGTCACTCTCAAACACATTTGTATTTATTTGAAATAAATGGCTTTGCTTTGAGAAAAACCAAATAGTTAATTTACTCTCCATCCCTGTGGGTGAGCCCTTGTGGTGGGGTGTGGTGGGAGGGTTCACTGAAGGAAGCGGCCTACTGTGACTCTGTGTGTGTGGCTTCATGTTGGGTAGTTGACAAGAGACAGACGGCCGATGCGTGAAGACGGTTATTGTATTAGTTACTATGCCGTTGCTATGACAAACTGCTTAACAGAAATAACTTAGGAGAGGGATGATTATTTTGGTTCATGGGTTTGAAGGACTTTAGTCTGTTGTTGCAGGAAGGCCCAATGGCAGAAAGCCTCCATCTGTGATGGCGTGAGTCCGAGGCAGGGCCTGGTGTCTGACTGGGAGACAGAGAGTGAGACAGAACACGTCTATTTGGCTGTAACTTTCAAAGACCCACCCCCCCAGTGGCCTACTTTCCCCTGCTAGGCTCCACCTTGGAAACAGTGCCACAAACCGGAGACTATGCATTCAAAATACAAGCTGGTGGGTGACATTTGAGAGTCAAACCAGAGAGGCAGTCAGTTCGACTGGTAATACCAGTTCCTGAGGGTCAATGAGCCAATTCTGGATGGATGGATGTTGGGTGCACAGACAGGCCTAAAGCCCCCAAAAAAGAGATCTGGTCTGAGGTAGCTGCCAAAATATCCTGAGGGGAGAGGTGTCAAAAAAGAAAAGTCCACAGTATGAAGTTTCTCTCAAGCTACTGCTTGCTTTAATTAGGTCTGTGTTTATCTTCCTTCTGAGTGTCTGGATATGGATCATTGTTTATTTTCATAACAAAACAAATCTAGGCTTTTTGAGTGATAATGTTAAAAACAAAACAGCTGCTACGATAGAGAATAGATGAGAAGGAAAAAGTCAAGAAAAGGAATCCTGGGGGGATCCAGGGCTTCAGCTGAATGTGTAAAAGTGGAGGGCCCTGCTGGGCATAGGTGGAAGAAGAGAACCTTGACCTCATGAAGGCTGGATGCCCCAGGGGGTGGGATTTTTGAGGGTGGGGAGGTGGGAGTGGGGGGTGTAGATAGAGGTTACATCCACAGAGAAGAAGGAGGAGGGGCGAGGGGATTGGGGGTTCCGAGGGGGTGGTGGGGGATGTGGTAAGGGGACAACATAGGAAATGTAAATAAATCATCCAATAAAAAAAAAAAAAGAAAAAAGAAAAGGAATCCTGAAGGAAACGTTCTTGTGTGGCAGGAGCCAAGTGTTTCTTGGGGACCAGGTTTGCCTGACGGTTCTGGCTCGTAGGCGTCATCTGTAGCCTGTCTCTACACTTTGCACTAAGCTATGTATTCCTCCAAAGGATTTTTATTTATTTATTTTTTGCTCGTGGTGATGATGGAGCCCACGGTCTCATATGGGAAAAGAAAATAGTGTGTAGCTTTCCAGTCCTCCACTTGACTATTGTATCTTGGTTGTATCCTTTTATACTTCTTCCAGTGTTATCACGAGGCCGAAGCCTCCCATCTTTGTGGTAAAATTGTTCGATGTTTCACTCACATAATTGAATTGGTTCTCAAAAATTAACTCTATTTCACTACGGTTTTCTCATAAATTATTTTTAAAAGATCAAATACGGCTTGTGAAGGAGCTAGGGGACAAACACTTGTTTTAACATCGGCCGTTTACAGACTCATTAAGGGAAATGACAACCTTGTTGGTTTTTATCTAACGTCAGTTGAAGACTTAAACGTATTCTTTGCTGGTGTTTGGTTAGGGAGGATTTGTTTAGACTGACGATAGCAAACATGTACTTATTAGAATCTTTCTTCTAATCAGTTTATTGATTAGTCATTAGTCATTTCAGCTTCTTTTGCGTGTTGTCAGGAAAGCCCTGCGTTTGGCCTCTGTTCTCCTTCTTGCTAAGGGATGGAGTCGATTACACAGATCTGCCGCACTTTATGGATTAGACATGTTAGTTCAAGAATTTCACCTGGTTTCATGAAGATAGACATCTCCAGTGGATAGCCAATCCAAACAAGAGAGGCAGTCAGTTGTTACCTGACTCATGGCAGTTCTCTTCCCTCTTCTGGCTTGCAAAATACCTGTCTATCAGAGAGTAAGTGAGTCAACATAGTATTTGGTTTAAGTAGTTATTAAATTTTTTTTTCTGAGGCTTAAATGTGTATTTAGTGTTTTGAGTTAAAATATATTGATGTGTTCTCTGTAAACACCAGAAGAGGTAAACCACTAAAATTTCCTTAGGGTTTCAGAATGATAAACCATTTTCTTGGAGTTTGCTAACTTTAAACGGATATCAACCTTGTTTCCTGTTCTATGCCTTCCTCAACTTTCCCTATCAATAAAGACAGTTTACAAATAACTGCTGTGCTTGGGCACAGTGGTACAAGCCTTTACTCCAGACAGACCTCTGTGAGTTCAAGGCCAGGCTAGACTACATAATGATATTCTGCGCCTGGAGTTTGCAGGCAGTGTGAGGTCTCTGACCAGTTTCAAATGGATAGTCCTGCTTACTGGCTTTACTGGTCTCTCTTACGAAAGAGATGATGTAAGTTTACATGGTGGCTTTTATAAAACACATCTGAAATAGAGTCTTGGATTTCTTTTAAAATCCCCACCCCAGTCTGTTCTACTTGGGACTGCTTCTTATGTTGCAAAGAAGTAAGACTGCCTGTGTTCAAACATTTACTGTCCTGCATCTTGCCCTTTATGGACAGGGGGTAGAGGCCTAGAGGAGGTATTTCAATTAGTAAATGGACTATGTTTTCACTTTGCTTTGAGGATGGAAAACATGCCACTCCCTTAGTCCTTAGTCCAGACTGAAGACTGCCCCTGTGAAATGTTTGGCATTATGCAGACTTCATGTGGGAGCAGCTAGAGAGATAAGTAACTGTAAAGCCAAGGGCTGTGTTGAGCCACTCAGGAGAGGTAAGGAAAGATAACCCAGTGTGGACATTTCTAGGAGTCCAGAGGGTCAAAAGACCATTGAAATCGGGTGAAGGGTAACATGGAGGGATGGGCTTGCCCATGTCCTAGGCCAATGAGAAGCATTTGGTGGAGAGACAACAAGCAAGAGAGGAGAGAAAGAGGATTCATAATTAGAAGACAGGACCAGTCCCTTAACATACATCGACTCATTTCTGTAGTCTTAGAATAATGGTGTAGCAATTCTCTCTCTCTCTCTCTCTCTCTCTCTCTCTCTCTCTCTCTCTCTCTCTCTCTCTCT